CTTGTAGGGTAGCAACTGCAGCGTTGATCGCGGTGGGAAGTGAGCGCTGCAATGCGGCGTTTACCATTTTCTCAATAGTATCGGCTGTAATCCCAGAGCTGCTACCAGCCTCCACACGCTGTCCATTATTCTCAGCGACCATACGACTAGGAGCATGACGAATAGTAGGTGCCCAACTATGATTCTCGGTCAGGTATGCACCATATGCCGCACCTTACACCGTTTGAGGTGTTGATTCTCGTGTTTTAGGCCGATTTCACGCTAGGTTGTGCTTGTTATTGATATTTCAGGTCCTAGTACGTGAATGGAGGCTTGGGAGCGAGTCTGGGGTCGATTGGACGAAGATCGGACGAATGGCGAGGTTTCAAGGAAGCCGCACGGGCAGACCAGGGCATCACACGGCCGTGCAAGTGAGCAAAGTGGCCGTGTGATTTTTGCCGAGGCCACACACGGGCAACCCATGAAATCCACACGGCCGTGCCACCCTGGCCGTGTGAGATGGCTGAAGACCGAACTAATCCATACGCTGCATTTCGACTCGCACGGGCAAAGTGGTGAGCCACACGGCCGTGTGGCCTGCCCGTGTGAGTCGGGAAATTCTGGTTTTTGAGCCAATTTCGAGCCAAAAGTGGGAGGATCGGACTTTTTGAGCAAAAACAGAGCCCTAGAGAGAGAAAGTACGAAGAACTCATCCTAGAAGCTATCTTGGAGCTGGGTTTCATCGAATCGAGCTTGGAGATCGTCCTAGGAGTGGAAATCATCATCCCGGAGCAGATTTTCCTCATCTTTATGAGTATGACTACTCCGATTACTGTTTTCCTCTCTCTCTCTCTCTATGGAGTAGAACCCCTCTCTCACTTGGGGATGAAGAACCCTAGTTCTATGTGTTAGGGATTGATTGTAATGACTTGGGATGAGATTACTGTTTGATTTTAATCGAATGATGCATGTTTATTGAGTCAATTGAAGTCTGATCAACTTTTCCTGATTCCTGCTGCAATCTGAGATAGATAGAATCTGATTAGGTTGCTAGAGTCTCATCATTCGATAGTAGGAGATTGGCTATACGAGAGTTAGCCAGTTTACTGCTTTGTACTGGAATCCAATTCCAGTAGTGGAGTTCTGTTCTTACTGCTTCAGCTTTCTATCCCGGTGAAGACTAGTCGTCTGCCGGGTAGTTAGACTGAGAGGGCTTGGTCAGCTTAAGAGATTCCAAGCTACTGTCGGATCTTCCGCAGTTTAATCAACAGTAAATCAACCCAGGGAAATACAATTGAAACCTAACTAAGGAGCTAGGGGGACTCATTCCCGAGTGACTCTTACCTGCTTGAGAAAACCGAATAATTTCCTGCTTTATTTCTGCTTTTGCTTTTAAACAACAATCACTTACTTTAGTTGGCTAGATAATAGAGAATCACTGAGTAAGCAGTAGATCTAGACCCCGGGTTGATAATATAACTTGCCTGTTACTGCATTCCCGGTCTGCGATTATACTTGGTCGCAGATTGGTTTTGTGTTTTGGCGTGTCAAGTTTTTGGCGCCGTTGCCGGGGAACCCTCTAGGTTATTGGGGAAACGTGAGAATTTGTTACTCTAGCTTTTTATTTACTGCATTTTATCTCTTCCACCTGTGTGCCTTCACGGGTTGCTTCTGCTGATTGTGTGCAGGTAGTGCATGACCCGTAGCCAGTCGGGAGATCTACTACCACTAGACCAGGAGCTTGAACGAACCTGCAGAAACTTCAAGCGGGCTCTAAAGGCACGACTGGCTGCGGAGGAGGCACTATCACAGCTGCAGTTAGAAGAAGAGGAAGAAGAGATGGCTGATCCACAGGGCCATGCTGTGGTAGATCCCGATGAGCAGACCATGGGATCCTACTAGACCGCTAGAGCTGCGGACATGAGGTCACCCATTCAGCATCCTCATGTCCCAGCCAACAATTTTGAGGTGAGCACCTCAGTAATCACGATGCTGCGCGGTTCAGTGGTGTTCCGTGGTAAGGAGGGGGAGTGCCCCCGATCACATCTCAGGCGATTCCATGAGCTCATTGATGGAATCAAGATCAATGGGGTACCAGCAGATGCCATCCAGCTGAGGTACTTCCCATTTACTCTGGAGGGGCAAGCCAAGGAGTGGCTAGACACTCGACCTCCGGGCTCCATCACCAGGTTCGCCAACCTGGCGGACAAGTTCCTTACCCGCTACCATCCTCCGTCCAATACGGCGGACTTGCAGAAGATGATCACCCACTTCACTCAGGATGAAGATGAGACCATCCGGGACGCCTGGGAGAGATACAACAGCCTCTTCCTGAGGTGTCCCAATCATGGTTTCAACGATGCTTTCAAGGTGGGAACCTTCTATCACGCCCTATTCCCGGAGGACAAGCAGCTGATTGATTCGGTTTGTGGCGGAAACATGCTGACCAAAACACCGCCACAGCTGAATCAACTCTTTGAGGAGATGGCGGAGAATGGGTACGATTGGGGCACTGCCAGGAGATCGAGACGAGCACCAGGACGGGGTGTGCATGCTGTAGGCACCCAGTCATCTGATTTGGTGCAGGTGGTATCGAAGCTGGTGTCAGCTATCGATCGTTCTGGTTTGATTGCAGGTACAGGACAGCCGCAGGTGATGCTCTGCCTGTGGTGCGAGAGCACCCATCACATTGTGGAAGACTGCCAAGCGATGAAGGAATCGACAACACCCCAGGAGCAGGTGAACTTCATCAACAATGTTAGGCGCAACGACCCCTACAGTAACACCTACAATGAGGGGTGGCGCCAGCATCCCAATTTCTCCTGGGGTGGGGCAAATTCCAGACCACCAGTCCCCCAGGGACCACCGGGCTTCCAGAGGCCACTATATCAGCCCAGACAGGGGCAATTCCAGCAGCAGCAGTCTCTCTACCAGGCCATGCAGGGGCATGCTGCTCCATCACAGCCGCGACCTTTCCAGCAGCCAGGTGTAGCCCCTGCCGCCCCAGTGCAGAATGATCAGATGGCTGAACTGCGGGAATTGGTGGGTTCTCTCGCCAGTTCTAGTGCTCAAAAATTTAACACCATCGAGCAGTTCATGGAAAAGGCATCGGGCAAATTCCAAGCTCTTGAAGCTGGCCAGAGGAACACACAGGCTGTCTTGCAGGATATCCAAACCCAGCTGGGGAGTGTGGCTCAAGCAGTGGCACAAAGGGCTCCTGGTACTTTGCCCGGTCAGACCATTCCTCACCCTCAGAACCCGAATGAGCACTGCAATGCCATCATGACCAGGAGTGGCAAGATGACTGTTGATCCACCTGCTCGGGCACAAGAGAGAGAGGCCCCTGCCTCGGCATCTCCAGCAGCTAAAGAAGAAGTAGAGAAGGAGGTTGAGGTGCCTACACCTAAACCGCAACCAGTAGTGAAGGAGTATATCCCTAAACTCCCCTTCCCTATTCGGTTGCACAAAGACAGGCTGGAGGCAGAGTTCGAGAACTTCATGGCCATGCTTAGGAAGCTGAATGTCCAAGTGCCTTTCCTGGAGGCACTATCTCATATGCCTAAGTATGCGAAGTTCCTGAAGGATCTTCTCTCAAAGAAGCAGAAGCTGAGCGAGCTGGCCACTGTGGAGCTCAGCGAGGAGTGCTCGGCCATTCTGCAGAACAAGCTTCCGCAGAAGCAGAAGGACCCGGGTAGTTTTACTATCCCGTGCTCTATAGAGAATTTGCATGTAGAGAGGTCCTTGGCGGATTTATGTGCTAGTATAAATGTTATGCCATATAAACTGTTTTAGAAACTAGGCCTAGGTGAACCCCGTGCTACTAGGATGAGCCTTCAATTGGCTGACCGATCTGTGGTGCATCCTAGGGGCATAGTGGAAGACCTTCTGGTTAAGGTTGGCAAATTCAATTATCTTGTTGATTTTGTGATTTTGGACATAAATGAGGATGTGAATGCGCCATTGATACTAGGAAGGCCTTTCTTGGCCACCGCTAAGGCCCTCATAGATGTGCATGATGGGACCTTAATTCTGAGGGATGGTGAGGAGCGAATAGCGTTTTCAATTTCTAATACTCGTCCTGCTTCGTCACCATTGCATGTTGTATCTCACCAGGAGCACGAGTCTGTCGTGTATCCTCCTGTGTTGCCTATTTTGCAGGATCCGCCTCCCATACCTTCGCCGCCACTCCCGTCCACTCCATCATCGAAGGAACAAATCAAGGAGGAGTGGCGGCCGAAACAGCAGGCAGCTAAGCCTGATCGAAAGAAGGCCGGAGACCACTATGAGTTGGTCCCGCCCCCACCTTGGCCATCCGAGTATTCACTCGCTTGCATCCTGCCGGATGGCCAAGTTGAGTTGGCAAATGCTGGTGGCCACATTCGGCGGGTGCATGGCCACCATTTGAAGTTGTACCTCAAGAGCGAGGTGGATCCGCTCTTGAAGGCACCTGCTCCTTCACCTCACTGAGCATCCACCGACTGGCGTCCAGCTAAAAGACGGTAAAGAAGCGCTTGTGGGGAGGCAACCCCACCTAGGTTTGCATTTTCTTACCTTTTTCTTTTTGATTTTTGTGTTTTTTGAGTCTTGAGATGCTGTTCCAGAGTCGAATGTCGTTTTTTAGTGAAAACAGGTTGATTTCGGGGCTTCAGCAGTTCACACGGCCAAGCCTTTCACTCACACGGCCGTGTGGATTCTTTCCATTGGCCGTGTGTGCTCTCGACAATTTCCACACGGCCAAAAGTGCACCTGGCACGGCCGTGTGGCTTGGCCTGGCCTGGCCGTGTGGCCGACACGGGCAACGCGTTTTATGGCACGGCCGTGTGGGAATTTGCCCTGGCCGTGTCTGCCCTCGCAGAATTTGGCACGGCCAGGTGAGCACTCGGCACGGCCGAGTGAAATTCCTCGGCCAGCCCGTGTCGGCCGACACGGGCAAAAGTGCACGCGACACGGCCGTGCGTGTCTGACCGTGTGGCCGAGACACGGCCTATATATTCGGCCAGCACGGCCGGGTCGTCAGAAAGTTTCAAATTCCTCGCCGGAATCCTCTGTCCCTCGCCGGAAAACCGCGCCAAAAACCCCCTTTTTGATTTTTTCGGCCATTTTTTGTCATCTTTTCACCAAACCAACAACAAACCCACCCTTCCTCCACCAAAATCGGCCTATCCCTCCATTTTGAGGAGATTTGGCCGACGTTTTTGTCGCCGGAGGCGATTTCCGGCGAGGCTCCGACGAGCACTTCCGGGCACTTTTTCGGCTTTTCGTCGCTTCCATCGCCTTCCCCTTATCATCCCCTACACCTCTACTTGAGTCTCCAGGTTTGATTTTGCCCTTAACTATGTTAATTGTGGAGAATTGGGTGTTAGGGTGCATATTTAGAGAACCCCATTGAATCTTGTGATTTTTGTGCAATTGATTGAGGGGAATGCATGGAGTGTGTTTGAATTGTGTTGAGCTAAGTCCCTCTTGATTGTTTGAGCCCTTGTGTGCAAGAATTGTGCCAATTTCATGTTTACCTTAATAATGCACACAAGGTGTTCGATAAAATGCCTGTTTTCGTACCATTTTGTGGGGGTCGGTTGGGGCCCTTAATGATGTGCTTTGAGGGTGTATTTGGTATGGATGTGAACCTTAAGTTGCCTACTTGTTCATGGATGTGCACCCCCCACTCAGATTATGCTTGATTTATCGAGTTTCTGACCCCCAAACTATGGAGGAAACCATGGTTAGGCTGTTTTCTGTTCTTAAGTGTGGGGGTGTGATTAACATTTTTCTTGGCTGTTTTGGTTCCACTTTGGGCTGTTCTTTTGCAGGATCATGTCGAAGCCCAACCTCCGGCATCAGTATGTTCAAGATTTGAGAAGGGGGGCCCACCGGGATCGTTTTCAGAACGTCCTGGCCTGCAAGTTTGGGCAGCACCATTACTGGTCGAAGCGCGAGTTGGAGAAGCTCAACTGCTACGAGCACCTCTCACCCGTTGTCACCAACAAATACTGGCGCCGCCTACTCAGCATCCGCGCGACGGTTTACTATGAGCTCGTGCTTGAGTTCTACACCACCTTCAAGCACGCAGCCATGGCCGATTGGAAGGACGAAGCTGCAGTCCAGTTCCGACTCGGCGGTGAACCACGCTCTATGAGTTACGACGAGCTGGCGGACGCCCTGGGCCTCAACTTGGTAAATGACAGGGACTTCATCACAGAGGTCGCCGAGCCCGACAGGGTGGACTTCGGGAGGCTGTACTTCAGCCTCGCTCGGCCACATCAGCTTCCCTTCAAGGCGGGGAAGACGAAGGCCACCACATTGCAGCTCGAAAACCGTCTCCTCCATCACATGCTGGCCAAGTCTTACACCCCAGCCTCAGACAGTGCCAGCGCCATCACCAAGAGATCCCTGTACTTCATTCAGTCCATGCGCCAGAGGGATCATCCCCTGCACTTGGGCTCGGTGGTGGCGAGGACCTTCGAGAAGAGTGCTTCTGAGCTGAAGAGACTCCACTGCACTCCTCTCATCACCTGCCTGGCAGAGTACTTCCAGATATCCCTGCAGGGGTGCACAGAGCAGGGAGCGACCACCCCCTTTGGCCGGGCTACGCTTACCAAGATGCTCCTGCTTCGAGAAGAGCGAGGAGTCATGTGGATCGAGGGGTTTCCTCAACCTCATTTTCCAGAGGCGGTCCAGCAGGAGGCTCCCGAGGGTGCAACTGATGAGGAGGTCCAGCCCGAGGACGTGGATGACACTGCTGCCGCCCGCCCCACCACCTTCGAGTACGGGGGTGGCAGTTCCAGTTTCCCGGGGCAAAATTACTTCACCTCCCAGTTCGAGCAGCTGCGTCTCTAGAACCAGCAGATCATCGACCATCAGATTCAGTTCCAGCAGCAGTACGCGGCTCACCAGGCCGAGTACCACCAGAGGATGGCGGGTTACGATGAGAGATTGGACCAGCTCCAGACCCAGCAGGGAGTGACCCTCGCCCACATCGAGCGAGAGAGGCGCCGTTCTCGGCGCATGTAGGAGGTCCAGCAGCATCTGCTCCAGCTGCTAGTGGGCGAGCAGCCAGTCTGGAGGACTCCCTGGGAGGACTCTCCACTTCCACCTCCCCCTGCGGATGGTGATGATGGTTCCGATGGTGGTGACGCCTTCATGAACGACATCAATTTCAATCTGGACGACCTCGGCGACGAGTAGGCTGTACTCGTTGCCCATCTCAGTGTGTTTTGTTTTTCGTTTTAGACTTGTGTGTGTTTGCTCCATGTGTGAGGAGCTTGAACTTAGTGTCGTTTGTTTTTGTTTTTTTCTTTTGTGGATTGTTTTTGCTGTAGTCGTCTGGGCTAACACTTATCCCTAACACAACGTGTGCTAGTGTGTTCTTGGTGTTCGATTCGTGCAGAACTGTCCATCTTCCCGTTTGTTTCTCGCTGACTGGTCCACTTCCAGTCCCCCAGCAGTTTCAATCCGGTAACATCGTTCCCCTTCTCTATCCATCTGCTCCATTGAGGGCAATGTCGTGCTTAAGTGTGGGGGGGTGCTTTGTATCGGTTGGAATGTATATATGTGTGCTTGGAGCCTAGTCCACTGTCCAAATCTCGAGATTTGAGGGCTCCAAGTACTGCTGTTTGATCATATTGGCACTGTGTTTTGATTGATGAATTGAATGGTTTTCGGATTGATGCATGACAGCTTGATTGTGACTAGGACAACCTATGATGAGGACTAAGACGTGCAGTAGAGTTGTGTAGGGGTTCAGTTTTTCAACTGTTTGCTTACCAACTATGACTTGGATTGATTACTTGTTCTCGACAGTCTCTTATGCATCTAGTTCAGGGTATCAGAATGTGAGATAGAGCATATAGGTAGCCATGTGAGATTTGAGCCTGCTCGTTTCTTTCTTGTGCGATAGATCCCTCTTCCATGATGTGTAGCATTCACGTTGTCACTAGCTAGGATGATGGGGGCATAGGATTAGCCCACGACCAAATTTGACTGTCCTGATGTGTCATATCCCCTAGTCAGCCCTTTTGAGCCGTGTGTTATCCTTTCTTTTGGTCTGAAATGAAAGAAAAAAATCACCTTGTTTACATCTTTTAGAAGGTACCACAGAGTGGTTTTTACATATTCTCTGCTGTTTCTGCTAAACTTGATGTGAGTGTTGGAGGTAGTGCTTAAAAGTTGAGCTGGGCAGGTGTTTGAAATATATGCAGAAGTGGTGGCTCTCTTAAGAAAAGAAAAGAAAATGAAAGAAAAACAAAGAAAAATTAAAAACAAAGAGAGCCACTACCAAAAATCTGAATAATGCCCAGTATGTAGTGTTTCTTAGCGGTCTGGCTTGGAAATGCTGACATTTTTACCTCCTTCGCTCTTGTGCTCTTGAGATATTGAGTAATGCAGAATAGCAGAAAGGAAATACCTGTTTGTTTGACTGTGATTGTTTGGGTTTGGAAATGTGGAACCTTGTGCTATGAATACTTCCACCACCTAAAAGGCCTTTTCCCCATGTCCAAGACCCTAGCCACTCATTTGAACCTGTGTCTAAGACCTCCTGATTAGTTAGTGGTGACACCCCATATGTGAACTCTAGTATTTAGAGGCTGCCATCATGGTGAAGAGATGTTAGGGATTGAGAGAAATAACATGTGCATTTTTCGCATCAAATTGTCCTGACCCCACTGGTCGAGAGTGAGTGATTCATTTTTCATATTCTATATACTCGTGTACCCCGGTGAGGACCTAGATTGCTCGGTCTCTATTCTGATTTCTTGAGTTGGATGCATGAGTTGACTGTTTTGAGTAAGTGGTTGAGTCAAGTCTAGGTTGGTTGGTGAACAGAAGGGAGACTCTTCCTTTACTCGATTTTGCTGCACTCGAATGTCCTTTGTGGTGGTTGTCCAGGTTGCTAATGAAGTTGCTCATGTGTTGATGTTTGAAAACCAGTACGATTCACGTGTTCTGTGCCTTTATGACTTGTCCCCAATGTTGGTTGATTGAAATTTGTAAGCTTACCTGGTGTCTGACTTGGTTTGCTTGGGGACAAGCAAATGGTTAAGTGTGGGGGAGTTTGATAGACCGTTAATTACACATGTTTTCACCCCCGTTCTTACACCGTTTGAGGTGTTGATTCTCGTGTTTTAGGCCGATTTCACGCTAGGTTGTGCTTGTTTGTGATATTTCAGGTCCTAGTACGTGAATGGAGGCTTGGGAGCGAGTCTGGGGTCGATTGGACGAAGATCGGACGAATGGCGAGGTTTCAAGGAAGCCTCACGGGCAGACCAGGGCATCACACGGCCGTGCAAGTGAGCAAAGTGGCCGTGTGATTTTTGCCGAGGCCACACACGGGCAACCCATGAAATCCACACGGCCGTGCCACCCTGGCCGTGTGAGATGGCTGAAGACCGAACTAATCCATACGCTGCGTTTCGACTCGCACGGGCAAAGTGGTGAGCCACACGGCCGTGTGGCCTGCCCGTGTGAGTCGGGAAATTCTGGTTTTTGAGCCAATTTCGAGCCAAAAGTGGGAGGATCGGACTTTTTGAGCAAAAACAGAGCCCTAGAGAGAGAAAGTACGAAGAACTCATCCTAGAAGCTATCTTGGAGCTGGGTTTCATCGAATCGAGCTTGGAGATTGTCCTAGGAGTGGAAATCATCATCCCGGAGCAGATTTTCCTCATCTTTATGAGTATGACTACTCCGATTACTGTTTTCCTCTCTCTCTCTCTATGGAGTAGAACCCCTCTCTCACTTGGGGATGAAGAACCCTAGTTCTATGTGTTAGGGATTGATTGTAATGACTTGGGATGAGATTACTGTTTGATTTTAATCGAATGATGCATGTTTATTGAGTCAATTGAAGTCTGATCAACTTTTCCTGATTCCTGCTGCAATCTGAGATAGATAGAATCTGATTAGGTTGCTAGAGTCTCATCATTCGATAGTAGGAGATTGGCTATACGAGAGTTAGCCAGTTTAGTGCTCTGTACTGGAATCCAATTCCAGTAGTGGAGTTCTGTTCTTACTGCTTCAGCTTTCTATCCCGGTGAAGACTAGTCGTCTGCCGGGTAGTTAGACTGAGAGGGCTTGGTCAGCTTAAGAGATTCCAAGCTACTGTCGGATCTTCCGCAGTTTAATCAACAGTAAATCAACCCAGGGAAATACAATTGAAACCTAACTAAGGAGCTAGGGGGACTCATTCCCGAGTGACTCTTACCTGCTTGAGAAAACCGAATAATTTCCTGCTTTATTTCTGCTTTTGCTTTTAAACAACAATCACTTACTTTAGTTGGCTAGATAATAGAGAATCACTGAGTAAGCAGTAGATCTAGACCCCGGGTTGATAATATAACTTGCCTGTTACTGCATTCCCGGTCTGCGATTATACTTGGTCGCAGATTGGTGTTGTGTTTTGGCGTGTCATAAACCAAGACGAATCCACGGAGGAGCTTGAAGACTCCTCGGCTGCAGTTTTACTGGTGATAATTGTGTTCATCGTACAATGACTGCTATCTGCTACTCATATACTACAAGCTTGGCCGAACCCTAGAGCCATTAGGATTCTACGTTCCACACTCCTAATGCTCATGGACTTCATGGGCGGTGGGCCTTAAATGCCACATTGGGCTCTACGTACAACCATACTACACTCCATACGAGGGGCCAAGATCAGGTGACTAAGGGGGGTCCCCTTAGTCACATGGCTAAGTGAATCTCAGCCACTCAACCTCATTAAAATCCAAGGGCTCTAATTCATCTCATTTAGTAAAGTAATTACATGATTTAATTATTTACTAATTAAAAAATAAAAATAGGCGGACCTGCACCCGTCGACGTTATCTTCCCGACGCAACTACCGGCACTTTGGGGGACTTTATTCTCCTGCGGCGGCACCACTAGACCTGCACCCGTCGACGTCATCTTCCTATAGCGATGCAATTACCTGCACTTTGAGATTGGGCATCGCGGAGAGGAGGCGAGTCTGGCCGGAGGGCGACGAGGAAGGGGAAGAGGAGGAGGAAGGATCGGAGGGAGAGCGGGGCGGCGGTTGCTCGACGTCGAAGGCGACGATCGGAGGAGGAGGAGCAGCAGGAGCTTTGGGGCTGATCGACGGCAGGCGCTGCATGACGTAGTAGAGAATCGGGAAGGATTTGGGATTGGGATCCATGGCGAATTTAATTGGGCGATCAAACAGAGGCGGGATTGAAGGTTGATTGATGAGTGGGGAGAGTGAAGATTGGGAGAAATGGGAACTGGGAAGTGTTTTATAGAAGCTACAGCGGGATTGCCCAATTGAGCGGCGATAATGACAAAGTGAAGGAGAGAGAGAGAGGGAGAGAGAGGATTTTCCGGAGACCAGCGACGTCGGAGAAGGATTTTTCGGCGATAGTGTGGGTTTTAGGATGTTTGTTGACATATTTTGTAATGTTTGTAATGTTTGTATCGACTCGGTTTGTATTGTTTATTATTTTTGTTTGTCATTTTTAGTGATATTTTGTACGTTTAGTATGCTTCGTGCTGTTTGTCAGTTTATGCTGTAATGTTTGTACGCTTTGTTATTTTGTAATGTTTGTCGGTTTCATTTGTAATGTTTGTAAGCTTTGTTATTTTTGTCAACCATGTTTGTAATGTTTTTTATGTCTAAAAAACAACCTGGTTGACTTTTGGATGGAACTCCTCTCAATAGGGATAGAGCCTCCAAAGTCTACCCGAGTTTTTCTTTCCAGTTTGTATGGATTGTCGGTCTAGTTTGTCATTTTTGTCCACCATGTTCGTAATGTTTGTATCTCTAAAAAACAACCGAGTTGACTTTGAGACGGAGCCCTCTATATAAGGATGAAGCCTCCAAAGTCAACCTGGGTGTTTTTCCAGTTTGTATGAATTTTTGGTATAGTTTGTCATTTTTGTCCACCATGTTTGTATGTCTAAAAAACACCCGGGTTGACTTTGGGAAGGAGCCCCTCTATATTGGGATGGAGCCTCTAAAGTCAACCTGGTTGTTTTTTCTTTTTGTATGGTTTGTATTCGTTTGTCGGTCTAGTTTGTATTTTTTGTACAGTTCATATGTTTGTAAATCTGTTTGTATGTTTTGTCGCTCTAATTTGTACTGTTCGTATGTTTGTATGGTTTGTATTGATTGTAAGTCTAGTTTGTATATTTCGTAATTTTCCATAATACCCAAACTACCCCTGTCATTAATTAAATAACCCCTTCCCACTTTTTAACCATCAGATTGCTATATCCAGATCTAAGGGCTGGGAGGGGCTTAGTCAAGTGATTAAGCACCCCCCTTTAGTCACTGGATCCGGACTCCCATATGAGCCAACTATACATACGAGATTTATATACAATCAACAATGTGAAGAGAACGCTGTAGGAGTATATATGCAGGTCAGAAGATGGAAATTGCAGTGTTGGGTAAGGTGATTCATAACGACATATAACAACTACTAATTTTGAGTGACAATTTATGTCATGCCACAAAAACAATTTATATATTACGGGAAAAAAATTAATGCATTTTAAACAATTTATGTCACGCCACCTAATAAGCGGTTTCCTAATAGGCTTCCTTCCGTCACTACTAGGGAATAGACATAATGAATCGCTATTTGTCGCCCGTATATTTACTACTTGTCACCCATAATTTTGTAGAAAAAGTCAATTTTGCCCTTCAACACTTTGAAACCTAACTAAAATATCTGGCCGGAACTATTGGCCGCGTTTTGGTGCCGCCGCTCTAGAGGACCAAACTGTCGCCGGTATACCTCACCTTCCTCTTTTCTATTCCTCAAATCCGGCGACAATCACCTTCGCCTTCCTCTTTTTTCCCCGCAATTCCCGGCGGCGATTCACCCTCCACCATCTTCTTTCGCCATGGGAGCAAGACCTCGGGATGAGATGGACGGAGTCCTTCGGTCCGACGTCGGCGTTCGGACGGGGTCCGCCCGCCGGCCTCGGACGGGGTCCGACCTCTCACATCGGACGTGGTCCGATCTCCCACGTCGGACGGGGTCCGACCTCTCGCATCGGACGTGGTTCGATCTCCCGCGTCGGACGGGGTCCGATCTCGTGGGTCGAACGGGGTCCGATCTCCGGCGTCGGACGGGCCGCCGGTGAATAAATTTTTTATTGTTTTAAATATTTAGAAATCTGATAATTAGGCAAATTAAAGGGAGTATTTTAAGGTAAGATTGATTTTTCCGTTGATATATTTTGGTAGAATATTAAAGAGGAGTTTTATCTCACCAAAATTAAAGAAAGGAGTTTTTCCATGGTATATATAAAAGTTTACATAAACAACCGTAAAATATTCCCCTAATTCACTTGTCTTCCCCTAATTGGCGTCCACATTTAATTTCATTTACTTAAGACATCCGAAAAAATTTCCATAATTAACATGTCCATAACCCACGTCTAATTGGCGTCCACATTTGAATTGTTAATTATTTATTGAGTAATGAAGTAGTTATATTGTTTCAGATATTTATAAAATCACCCGTCAAAATAAAATATTTATAAAAGCTGATAATTAGGCAAATTAAAGGGAGAGTTTTAAGGAAAGATTGACTTTTTCGTTGATCTAGTTTTGGTAGATTTTTTGTTTAGTTTAGACTTTAGCGGTGGAATATTAAATAAAATAGTTTTATGGTAAAATTTAAAGGGAGATTTTCAAGGTAAGATTGATTTTTCGGTTAATATAGTTTTGGTAGAATTTTTTTATTTTGATTGGGCGGTTGAATATTAAATAGATGAGATTTGTAAGGAAAAATTTATAAGTTTTACATTAATAAAATAATTTATTTTGAGTAAGAATTTTTCGGAAGGAAACTTCCTAATTAACAACCTCTAATTTGTATATCTCGCCACCAATCTTATTTCTCTCGCCATCAATAGAATTTGTATTCCTTAACAACCGAACGTAATATCCTCCCCAATTTAATGATTATTTTCCTAATTAACTACCTAAAAAATTTCGTCCCACGTCTAACAATGGTTTCATAATTATACTCAATTTAACATCCCACACACATTTTACTGAATTGACATCCGAAAAAATTTCATTAATTAACATTTCCTATTCCATAAGCCACGTCTAATTTCAATTACCTAATTAACAATAGGGAAAAATTCTTTTAATTAACACGACTATGCCCATAAAATGGAGATTTTGTATTATTAATCACAACCAAAACACATTCTATAATGAAACCGTATGTTGTTCTTGGTTCAAATAATTATAAATTAAAATCATTCTTTATTGATTTTTACAGTATTTATAATTATTCATAATTTATTTATATTGCTAGGGTTTGATTTTGACCAATTAGGGTTTATGGAGAGTAGGGTTTGATCTTGACTAATTAGGATTTATGGAGATTATGATTTGATTTTAACCAAGTAGAAGAGAATTTAACCACAATTGAAATCACGATGATAGATGGTAAAAAGAAATAAAGCATTTCTTTCCTAGTTTACACCTTCTACCCCTCCAAAATCCTAAACCCTTATTCCAACAAAATAACTACATTCAACCTCGACCAATCCAATTCTACTACAACATTGTCTTAGAGACAAAATCGCCTCTACTTCCAGTAACAACAATCGTCCGTATCGTCTTAATACGCATGGTAGGCCCAAGAAACTGCTCGTTACAACTCCCAAAACTCCCAAAAACGTCGATTAAAGTTTTGACACTATTCATAGTTTTTTGCCCTGGACGTCCGAACGCGAATAGGTTGATTCCACCATGTTCGTATCCACATCCACATTTTAGTGGAGCACCAAGGGTTACAATAATTTTTCACATCGATAGCTTTAGTAAATAGTAATTGTGAAAAGATTATTGTATAACCATTTAACCAAATTTAATAAGTATTAATAGTCATTCTACACGGTTAAAATGAATTATCCGTGAGTTTGTACAATAATTTTGGATCTCTTATAATTAATATTCATAATTTAATCATGGTAATTTTTTGAATTATCCATAAGTTGCTATTTATGTACGCAATAATTTGGAAGTTCTAATCTAATCATGGTATTTTTTTCTAATTATAGGGGTAGAAACAATGGAAACTAATCACCTCTGTCATATTGAGCAATTAGTGTCGATAAAAAAAGCAATTAATGGTGCATGGAGAAATTAGTGGTTTGGTAAAATTAGTTTAGTGAATAAATGGGGTGATACTGGGATTAGCTAGATTAATTAATATAAATGATAATATTAATATTGATATAAAATGACAACAATAATTCCCACTAATCAATCCCACTTACGGTAGAAACCATTTTCTACTATCATTATATATAATAATTCATCATAATTAATTACTTCTCTCCAATTAACTTCCCTCAAAACGTCTATTCCACTCCTAAAAAGTTTCGCCGAATATCCTCTCTCCTTTTCTATCTCTTCTTTCGTTTATCGTCGCCGTGAAATTGGACAGCGCCATGCCGTCCGACGCAGCAGATCGGACCCCGTCCGACACCTTCGGGCGGACCCCGTCCGATTGTCGCAGGCGGACGGTGTCCGCCGCCGGCGAGCGGACGATTTTTTTTTTCTTTCCGTTTCAAAAATTGGGAGGTCTGTCGGTTGTGGGTTGGGAGGTTCGGTGGCCGCGATGATGTGGCGTATGGCGGCGAAGATGATTTGGGAGGTCCGTCAGCGGTGATGATGTGGTAGACAGAGGTGGAGATGGTTTTGGTGGTCGGCGGCGAAGGTGGAGATGGTCGGCGGCGATGGTTGGAGGGAGGAGGCGGAAGAGTTTGGGAGGGAAGGGAGTGGGGGCAAAAATGTCATTTTAAATTAATACACGGGCGGCAAATAGTAAATATACGTGCGGCAAATAACAACCCTCCTAAACAAGTAAACATATAGCACTAGCAGCGCTTTAGCAGCTGGGGTTCCTATAACCCTTGCTACAATTGTAAAATTTTCCGTAAAACAACAGTCTTATCCAGCGGTTAAAACAACCGCCGTATATTTTCAATCCTCCATTAATATATGGTAGAGTTTTGTGTATTTTTCTCCATTTAAAATTTCCTGCAACGAGAGTGAAAGTAGAAAGGTCATTTTTGTCTTTACACATTTATTATTTATTTCATATAAAAATAGCAATATCAAGATTTGAACCCGGGTCTCTTCAAACAAAGATAACAATCACAACCAGTTACACTAAACAAATTTAATGCATCCATTTTTATACAAAAAATAGACAAAGTTAATCTCTGAAAATCAGAGGACTTTTTCATCATAATTAGCAAGCTCAGTAAGTCTATCGTATGTATTTTTATCGAGCTTGATACTTCTATTTTCATAGTAGAGTTTCATGTAATTTTCTCAATTTTAAATTCTCGCTCTCTCCTTAATTTTTGCTAAAGGTAAATGGGTAATTGGCCAACATGGAAGAAACTAATTATGTAACTACTGCTGTATCCTTGCATTTTTTAATTTAAATTTTGTGTTTTTTTATCTTTGTTCTTTTCTCTTTCTAACTTCCTCCGAAATTTCATCCATCGTGCAATAGTTTGCGCCTTTTACTTCCCAGTACAGGACTGTCATTGAAAATCAATCTTCAGGTATCTCTTGGCACTACGATTTCATTGTTGGGGATTTTAAACTGGGCGAGTAGAAGATTTCAACTCCGATATCAATTCATGGCGAATAAAATGGAGTTCATCAATAACTGAAGTTGTAGAAGGAAGATTAGAAATTGAATTTTTGGTTGAATATATGCCTCTTGAGATAGAAATTTGGTTATACAACGGAGAGTGGTGGCTATTGGATCTTTAGGTTTATGGTTTTTGCAACTGTCATAACTTATTTCTATCTTAAAACGAGGAATCATTGATTGATTGTTTGAAATAGGTCGCTTCTTTATTCAACCTAGTGGAACTAATAGATAAGGAGTGTCTAATTTTGCGCCTTATTACTTTGATCGAGTCTATTCGTATATTGGAGATAACCCTGATTTTTTCGTTTGCTCTCAAGTTGTGATGGTCCCCTCTTAGCTGAGTTTTTAGTATATAGATGACTTGAATCAACAACTCTTCATTTCTTTTTGATTAGTGACATATTGTTTCTAAAAGGAGAGCATTGAACCCTTTATATAGGATTGCGAGGTTTAAGATTTAGTTTCAAACTATCTATGGGTTGTGTGAGAATTTCAGTGAGCTTTTATACTCTATATTTCTTGACTGTCAAAGAAAACTAACCAATAGCATTTTAACAGGGACTTAATTAGCATTATGAAAATGGAGTCAATGATACATTTTTATATTTTATATTCTTAAATGATTATGATATTTCTCCGAATGTTCGACCTATATATTATTTCTTTATATATCATCTTTGATCGAATGATTATCAATAAGATTAAATGGGTTAATAGACTTAAAAGTAACATAAAAATACAAATGATCAAATATGAGCATTCCGGCCAAAGGGCCGGATTATAAGCTAGTTAATTAAAAATCGGGTTGGATCCGGTCCTTAAGTCTCATTTTTTAAGGAGGTTTTTAAATCATTTTTATTGGCTGATACTAGATTAGGTAGTTAATAGTTAATAGTTAGTTGGAATAAATAAGATATTATGAAAATATAATTAATATTACTCATTAATGATTCTCTTTCTCTCTCCCCCCTTATCTTCTCCATAATCCTCTCTCTCCACTACAATTAAAAGGAAATTCGAAATTAATTTAATTAAATATTATTAAAAATATTTATGCTCTCTCTCACTTCGTGGCAACTTGCAATACAGTATTAACATTTTGCAATGACATTATCAACATTTATGAAATGAAATCGTTATTATTATACCTCATCATTATTAACGACTTCAATATACTTATCAATTCCTTACAATTACATTATTAACAATTTTGGATCAATTGTTACTGTTTTATAGTTTCGTCATCAACGGCTATGAATGAATCATTAAAGTTATGTAACATAGTCATTAATAGTTTGAATAACAATATCATTGATTTACAACAACTTTAGTACTAATGATTCACATTTTCACATCATGTTTATAACTATCTAGTCATGGCATCTTCCAATGATTTCTAATGACATTATTAACGTTTTATGATAAATTAATATTGCTTTACATTATCATTCTCAATGATCATAAAACTCAATACTAATTTTCAACATCTTGGGTACTTGTGACATAGTGCACCTGTGTGATTCAGTCAAACAAACATTGTCCAGAAAAATATTAGCTCAAGCAAACCAACATTCACGCCTCAACACCAAACTTTTAATAACAATACAATAAATCATTGATAACGAAAAGTATTTCGTTGAAAATAAACACAAAACATCAATGTAAAAATGTCCGACTTCAACATTATAAATGACATCAAACTTTTAATAAAGATATTAAAAACCATTAATATCGAATGATCAAGTCACTGATAAGGAAATAGATTTTTGTAATATAAAAATATTAATAATATTCAGATGCAATGTTTAATGTAGCACTAAAAACACATTAATAAGTAACATGTGTTTAATGGAGAATGCATCCAAAAAATTTGATAATTATAGCAACTAATGATTGTTAAGTACCTTATTAGATATTATTAATATCTTATTTTCAAACATTGATAATGCTTATACACGCCTATTAATAATGACACCAAACTACGTTACTAACTTAGACTGAAAGATTAATAACCATACTTATATTATTAAACGTAAATTCACTTTTGATAATGTCATAAACAAACGAATATCTAACAAGTATGCTTCTTGATAATGACATTTGACAAAGTTACAAACATAAACGATAAAAATATTAATAATTCAAATCACTAAACATAAGCAATCTTAAAAATGAATTAAATTTTTGCTAATGGTTGTATTGTGCTTGGAAAAAAAATATTGATAATAGCACTTCAAATGATTATAAATCATTGCGAACCAAATTGATAATACGATGCAATAGTAAATAAACTTCAAGTACCAACAAATTGAAAACACAATTTCACGTTTTCTAATGTTACAAACAAAATATAACATAAAAAGTTAATAATGTCATATAAAATTACTAAAAAACATGTCGAAAAACATTAATAATAACACAAACGAATACCTAATAACGAAAAATCTCAAACCCATGCAATGAAAAGCCCTAATGATGATTCAATTTATAAATATTGATAATGTCATTACAAAATGTTAATACTTAAACTAATCGGAAGTTGTCAAGATGTGAGAGAGGCATATATTTTAAATTTCAAATTTCCATTTTAGAAAAATAAAATTATTAAATTCAGATTTTATTAAATATTAAATAAAATTAATTTCAAATTTCTTTTTAATTATAATGTAGAGAGAGGGTTATGGAGAAAATCATGGGAGGAGAGAGAAAGATGATCATTAATTAATTATATTAATTTTAATTATATTTGCATAACCCTATTTACCCTTAACTACCTATTAACTACTAACCCCTATTAACTACCTAATCCACTATCAGCCAATAAAAAGGCTTTAAGATTTTCCTTAAGAAATGAGACTTAAGGACTTGAACTCAAAAATAGAATTTTGTAAATGCCTAACGTGCTCGTCTCTCAATACGAAAGAACAAACATATTCACCAAAAAAAAAAAATAATAATAAATAAAAACAAACATAAACGAAAAGTATTCTAGCCTCTTCCACTCTGTTCTCTCGTAAACAAATCCCTAACCCTAACAATCATGTCTCAACTCTTCTGATCCCCGCCGACTTCGATCTCTCCATCGACTTTGGCGATCCTCTCCCACCTCTACAATGGTCAAACTCAAAAGCGGCAGCACCTTCGATCATGGAGCAATTTCAATCGTCTCTTCAGTTCAAGATACATTTCCTCTAACCTTTTATTCAACTGATTTTCTCCCGAAGTTTGTCTCAATTCATGCGACGGACGCTGTAGCTCTAAATGATCGACGCCATCTATGTTATTCAGAGCCCAACGCTTGCTTTCTCACGCTGTCTGTAGTATGAACGAGCTTAACTACTCAGGGGAGGTTCACTAACACCTCGATCGGGGAGCATGCAGTGGTAGCCTGGTAGGGGGAAGGCAGTGAACAGAGGTAAAAGGGCACTATTGAATCGATTATGTGATTGATTGATTCCTTCCTGATTGAATGCTTGTCTCCGTATCCACTCTTCCTTTCATAATTGGTTTCTAGTTCATTGTCGCCAGTGAGTTCTAGCATCATCTGCTAGCTTTTGAATTTCTTTAGCAATAGCTCTAAGACGTGTACTTGATGACTTCAATTTTTCTGTTTATTGGTACAAAAAGATTAGATGCTGGCGCTCATTTGCTAGTACGGGAAAAGGTTAGGATGTGATTTCGAAAGCCAAGGTCATCGGTGTGTTTTGGTTCTTCTTTCCACAGTGTAGAAACCCTTTAGCTCTGTGAGGAATCAGGTAATTTTAGATTGCAAAACTAGCACTCTAGGGGTGAAAGTGGTTGTTTCTCTCGAATGATTGATTTTACTAACCTCTCTGCTTATCTTAACTTTGTGTTTCGAGCTCTGAATATGGTTGTTGTGCATGCATGGCTTTGTACCTGTAGGTGGTATGAATGGCTTATAAACTCACCTCCTATCCTTTTAAGAGTTTAGACCTTCATCAAAATCCACCCGTATAACGATTAATATATGCTGGAGCAGCTAGCTGCTGATGGTGCAACGATATTCTTCTCCCATGTTAACTATACTATATCTGGAGTGCTTCGGTTAGGTTGCATCATAGATTCAAAATCCCTCTGCACTGGAATATTAACCCCCATACTGCAAACCTAGATGTAATGCTAGAGAAAAAAATCAAGTGGTTAGGTAAAACATACACATGCATCCCAGGTTTATTAGCTGTTCTCTAATGCTAATAAGTTGTTTTCTGGTCCGTAATGTGTGTCTCCCAAGATTTAAACCAAAGGGGTAGCTAGTAGTTGTCGTTTATCTCAGCTCTCTGTTTATTTGTCTTCATTGTTTTGTGTTTCCATGTGGTCTTTTTTGTATGTTGGAATTCAATCAGTAGCAGTGACAATGATTTTTTGGTTTTGGTTTGTTTTGTAACAGGTTAGTATGGCTTGCAGTGCAGTTATGGGTTATTAGAAGACAGCAAAGTTCAATATTAAGAATTTTGTTGGAGTTTTCCTGTGAGGAAAATCTGGTGTTTGAACACAATGAATGCACCTCTCTTTTTGAACAACGATAATTACACGGTTCACTTCTCTCAGAACAATGTTCGAACGAGGGTGTTCGATGGTTTTGATGGTTTTTGGGAATAATCTAAATTACGTTACTCTACTTCTATGGAGATTCAGTGAGAGCTCTGAAAACTCAGGGTTATAGCTAATTTGCAGAGAAAGAATAAAAGTTTGACATAGTGTGTCAAATGGTTGGTTGTGGAACCCTTCCTTCGTCTTCGTTTCTCCTATATATAGTCATCCCTTGTAACCGTCGTGCAATTGCCTCTTGGTAATCGCTGCTCCACTGCTTGGTGTTTGATGTAGCTTGCTTGACGCCTTGACTGTCTTGCGTGTTTGCCACTTGATAGCTAACCCCTTGTGCCATTGAGGTGTCTTGTTTGGTGAGTGAAGGCTTCACGCTTGGTGGTACTCGTGCTAACCACCTTGACATGACGTCATGCTCGACACTAAAGTGCTTGGGGGTTCGATGGATCCGACCCCCTTGGGGTGGCATCATGCTTGATGCCCTAATGTTTGGTATCCGGTACTTGACCTCATTGCACGGTGTCATGCTTGACTCCCTTGGACGGTTGGATCTCCATACTTGGCCAATTTTCACTTCGGCATCATGCTTGACACCCTAGTGCTTGACCCCCTTGGACGGTGTCATGCATGACCACACTGGTGCAAGGTAGATAGATGACATAGTGCTTGATCCCCCTGGGATGATGTCATGTCTGACCTTCCCCCCCCCCCCCCCCCCCCCCTCTTGTGCTATGGGTCTCAACACTAAACCAAATTTTGGTTCTCTTTGCTACCACAGCTAGCTTGCGTCTCGTCATACTCGACTCACCTTGGATGGTGTCATGCAGGACCCGCTAGGATGATGTCATGCATGACCCCCCCTTGTGCTTGACCCCCTTGGACGATGTCTTGCATGACCCCCCCTTGCGTGATGTCATGCATGACCCCCCTTGCGTGATGTCATGCTTGACCCCCCCTTGTGCTATGGGTCTTAACACTTAGTCAATTTTCGCCTTTTTTCTCATCACGGTCTAGCGCGATGACCCCCTTTGCATGACATCATGCTTAGCCCCCCTGTGATGATGTCATGCTTGACCCCCTTGTATGAGACCCCCTTGGACGATGTCATGCATGACTCCCCTTGTGTTGTGGATCTCAACACTTAGCCAAATTTTGGCTTTTTCCGTCCCATCATGTCTAGGGGTACTTACCGGCGAGGTAGGTAGGCGACTGGTGGAGCGAAATTTTGACTAAGTATGATAGGGTGCCCACTTGGGTGGTGGATGTTGAAGGGTGTCAAAGCTTGACACTTGACCCCTCTTGCGTGACGGGTGGGTGTTTGGTGGATCAAGTGGTGTGTGTTGAGGTACCTGATATGAAGCCCAAAATACAATCATTTAGGCCTAGCTTAAACCAATTTAATTAACATGATTAAATTGGTCTTATAAATCACTACCACTCCTTGAAAATTATTAATGTGGTATTGAGTGATTTTTTAGTGATAAACAAATGCCCCCAACTACTAAGCGCATAGAGATTATGTGCTAAGTAGTTTATATCAACTTTACCACTTAGCCTCACACCTCGTTGGCTTTATTAACAACAACCAAAACCATTAATTCACCTCACTATCTCGTACCAACAGTGGCCAACTTTTTGGCTTAATCCACAAGCCATTAATTACAAGGCTAATTGCTTGCTTCCTACGTACTCACGTGTAACACTTAGAGTTTTTCTTTTTTGTGTGATAAACACCAATGATGCTGACCAAATCATTCCTCGTTCTTAATACGTACCATACTCCGTCGAGGCAAAGAGGACTTGTTTGGTCACTCGTATCGGGCTACTCCACCTGGCTCGTAACAGCTAGGGAAATTAAATTTTAGCCGGTTAATTAACCATCCGTTTCTTTGCCTTAAGGAAAAAGAATTCATTCTCCTTTGTGCACTCGGCTGATCGGCCATTAGATAATATATTATTATTTCCTTGCCATACTTGGCTAGGATTCTAATTTCCTTTTCCTTATAGGATTCTAATGCAATCAAATCCTTTCCATAACTGCAATGGAATCTCTTATTAAAACTTCCTCCAACTATATAAATAGAGACCTTCCCTTCTCATTCTTCACATACTTTAACATACTACATTCCAACAAGAGCTCTCAAATTCCACGTGGTCTTCAAGCAAGCAAAGCAAGGTGAGAGAAAAAAATTCTCTATCACCAATAATGGCCGCATGCCACTCTTGTTTTTTTTTGTCCTTCCAATGTTTGAATGAAACTCATATTTTGCTTGCTTGCACACGTCTCTACTCATGATGACATATTTTGCTTTCTTTGCTCATTACATGATGATTACCTTATCCCACTACTAGTTTGATGTACCTCGACTGACCATGCATGTTCATGCCATGTAGGATGTCTGATACCGAGAGAGAAAAAGAGAAGAAGGAGATCTCTAAAGCCACCCGAGAGTACCCCAAGCAACTTAGTGCATTGAAGGTAGAACCGGCCTAAACATCACATACTTGTCTATAAAGGATGACAAGACGAGGAAGCTGGGTCATTTCTTCTCCAATTTTAAGTCTCCGGAAGCCAAGAAACTTAACTTGTACCAACTAAGTGGTGGCCAATTGCTCTTCAAGGACGACCCAAAGCCGTCTCCTTTCATCACACTCCATAAGCAGAAGAAATTGATGAGATCATGGCCCCAAAGAGACACTAACTTCAACACTTGGTATCGAAGACTCAAGAATGACAAAACCACCACCAACTTATGGGGTGATGCTGGCATATCTCGACTGGTTAGTTTTCACATGCCAAATGAGGAGTTGGTTTCAAGCACGAGACATCTTGTTCAATCCTCCCAACGCCAAAGGTCACGCATATGCTGAGGTATACAACCCTCACTATGTTGCTCGTCAGTTCGGCCTTACCCAGATGTGGCCAATTTCTCTATCGTCATCCCGAAACTTCGAAACTTCGAATCTCCCACCAAGCGAAGGCCTCTAACAACGGAGCAAGATGAGAAATATGTGTATTGGTAGGAAACATCCTCTCTTGATGTGAAGTTCGAGTTCTTCACGCTGGACCATGATTCAACCTCGACCTTGTTTGGGTCGCTATTCCCCGAACAACTCCGTAAGCTAGACCTCTTTATTGGGGATCCTCAAGCTGTGGCACGATCTTTCCTCGAAGCTGTCTCCAAATCCATCTCGAGTGAAGACAAGGACTCTTCGCAAAATGAAAGCAAGGGAATGGCTCCATCATCCTCCTCTTCCATGAAACGTCGACCATGTAAGTCTCCATCAGTCTACATTGGCTTGTCATACTTGGTTTGAATGAATTCAAGCCATTATTAAAATCTCTTTTTTTTCTAGCCTCTGTGGCGTTCAAGGCTCGTGGTAAGAGCGTCAAAATACCAAGAACTCAGGATAAAAAGGTGAGCAACTCATGTATATCCTACTTACCGCCATCTCATTCCTTAGTATCCATGTGAACTAAAAAAAAAAACCCAACCATCTCCTTATAGTTTGCCGTAGTTGATCTCGACTCCGAAGCTAGCTCATATGAAGTAGAAGAATCAATGGAGGAGGATACTCAAATCGATCATTCCGGATGGGTAGATGACATGGACGCGGACATGATTTCTATTGACCAGCCTAAGACGTCCCTTCAAGCTACTGCCCACATTAGCCCTGCTATGTCATCATCGTCGAGCATCTCGGTCATCTCCTACGGTTCCCCTTGTGACGTCAAGCTCCAATGAGGTCATGACATCCATGTTGGCACCATCACACCTTACAGGCACTCTTGTGTTTGATAAGTTGGTTACAGGACCCTCCTCTTCATCGACACCTCTAATGGCAAATGAAGCTTCAATCCACGTTCCTGCCACCAATCTGTTTTCTACAAGCCATCAACCCCATGTCTCCAACCTGGCCATCATGGAGCATAATCCGCGCAATACATTGGAAGGAGATTTCAACAACAAGCACATGGATGGCAACCTGCAAGTCGAAGACTATCAACTTCCCACCGAACACCATGATACCCGACATACTTTACAATGATCTAGCACTGGACCATCCACTACCAACATGACTGAGACCGAGCCGGCTATATTCTCTTCCTCTACCATACCAGAATTCCAAACCAACACCAATGCCCTTACTCCAACCCTCGTAAGCACCACAATCTATCCTTTTTTTTTGTTTTTATAAATCGGCTTGTCAATAACATAATAAAAACTACTGCAGGATCTAAGCTCGCTCAACCAAAGCTTTGAGCTCATCCAAAACTTGGAATCACTTGGTGAGGAAGTCCAATTCGTGGCCCCCTCTACTGAAGTCACACGTGCTGCCCTCACTGAGCTGAACCGGTACCTCTCACTCACTCCCCAACAGGCAATCATGGCTTCCAAGAATCACTGGCCTAGACAAGCTCTTGAGTCACTATCCAGCCTTGTTATTCTCAACCCATTGCCAGGACTTGACATGAATAAGATGTCCATTTTACAAGCAGCCAGGAATAGTCTCGGCTTCAGCATATCAGCAATGGAGAAGGCTATCCTCGAACAAAATCAAGTTGTTAACAAGGAATCCATCCAAGCCAACTACACCAAAATGACTGCTGACTGGAAGACTATGAAGGATGCTCTTATTGATTTCAAAGCAAGGGAAGCAGCTCGCCAAGCCAAGATAGCTGAACTCGAGAAAGTGCTTGCCCAAGTTCGTGCAGAGGCTGCCGAGGACCAGGCTCAACATGTTCCCATGTCTCAAGACTTCCGACAGCTAGTGGAAAGAGCTCATAGCCTCAACGAAACAATGGGCTCAATGACCCATATGACATATCTAGCTCATGAGAAGGAACAAGCCATCTTTGTATACAACACCCATCTTGCTACCTTCCTCTAGCTGTGAGATATCTTCAAAGAGGCTCTCCATCACATGCCTGGCTAAATCATCCATACTTCATTTTTATCCTTTCTGTTAGCTCGCTTTCACGATTTAAGGCGCTCGGCTTAGCCATGGATTTGGCTTTTTTTTTCTTTTGGTATTCAGATGACTCGGCCTTTTAGTGATTGCCCTTGACAGGATGTTCTTTTCATTGCCTTAGTTATAAATTTACATTTTATTAACGAAGTGTGATACCAATCTACTTGGCTTCACCCCCTTCACTCTCAATGTTATACTTCTGTCTCAACGTACCCTCTATGTCATGGCTAGCTGTTCAAGCCATACTTCATCATGGGGGTATCATGCCATGCCTTAGGGTGTGGGAGGCTTGGCATGCCGGCCACCATGGTGGCGTATTAACATTGAACCCCTTGGCACCCCAAGTCCCAAAGAGAAGGGACGTAGGGCTTGAGATACTTACCATTGATCAATCGATCATGAAACACACCATCTAAATCTTTTAACAAGTAGGCCCCATTGGGTCGGGTGGCATGGACAATGAAGGGTCCACGCCAGTTGGGAGACCATTTGTCCAAACTTGGGATCCTTTTCCCCAATCGGCAAGTGTAGTTTCCAGACTAGCTCTCCTTCTTCAAATGACTTGTGCTTAACCCTCTTGTTGTAAGAGCGAGCTACTTTGTCCTTTTGCACCTTTATGTTATTGAGTGCTTTGAGTTGGAGTTCATCAAGATCGCACAATTC